AGTTTCGAGTAAATATGTTTGAAAAGTACAGAGTGCAGCTTGGGTAATGACCACATGAGAACACAGGAGCATTTAAGGTAAAGTCAGGATTCTCTGCATCCAGCATCTTCAGTGTCTTGGTCAGGACCTTCACTGGACAAGTTCAGCTATGTTGTTCCATATTTTCAGTTGATGAGAGAAACTAGAGAACCTGAAGGAAGCCCACCCACACTTAGACTTTAACTTTAATGTGACACATTAGCACACATCACAATATAATAAAGGTAATAATACATTCTAAATAAGTCACAAAAAATATAGCAAGAGACTGGTGTCAAATAAGAGTTAATTATATAAATGTATAAGAATATTTATATATATGTACAAGTCAAAATAAAATAGTAACAAAATATAAAATCGCAGCTATATACAAGAGGTCATAGGAAGTCAGTGCAACAATCATGACTGACAGGACATAGGGTTATCCGTTTCATAAGGGAGAGCTGTTGTACAGTTGTAGGGAGTATTATAGTATGAATGTAGTCCTGGATCTCTCAGTGTTTGAGTGGAGCTGTAGGAGCCTGTTGGAGAATGAACTCCTCTGTGCCTCTATTGTCTGGTGCAGTGGGTGAGCATGAAGTGTGAAGAGTGTCCCTGATGGAGAGCAGTTTGTCCAGTGTGCTCTTGTCCCTCACTGTGATAAATGTCCTCAGCCATCAGCCGATCATGTGACCAGATTTGCGGATCATTTTACGCTGGCCACCACAGACTGGTAGAATATCTCCAGTAACTTGCTGCACACATTGAAAGGAGTACTGTACTCATGCTCTTGTTAGCATTACAGTTGTCCCTCTAGTTCGACGCCAGGGTAATTGTAGATGTCCATTATTTCCACGTCATGGCCCAAGACACATGGAGAAACATGCTGATCGCAAATGTTGGTGGTCCATATTAGCCTGATTCATCATCCACTTTCACTTTGTGGAAACTGTCTGACCTCGCAGCATTAGGATTCATTCACTCAACAGTAGGCGGGTACTATTTTATTTAACCAATCGCTGCTATTTGGTTGTGATGTCTGTAATGCGCTGAAACCCTCTGTGGTCTTCAAGTAATTGCCGGCACAACAGCGAACAAAGCAGAGAGTGAAAGTCCGTGATCTTGGGAATCGTTGCCAACACAGAATATATGTCTTCGTCTACATCCATCTCAACACTTTGTTTACTGTTGTGCTGTACCACAAAAGGGACCAGACAGTGTGTGGTCTACAATTTCCAGGGCTTTTGCAAACCGTCTAGTATATTCTGATTCCTGACCTAGTCACTGGAGAGAAATGAAATATAGTGGAGGCATTAGGCAGTGTCAGCCTGGGTAAATCTATATATTCATTCATTACAATTAGACATCTGCTGTCATAATGAGTGTCTGTAAACCACTGACATGTGACTACTTTTCCTGGAATGTTGCACAGTCTTGCATTAAACTTGACCCAAAGAATTATTGTTTTGGTTCAGTTATTTCTTACTCCCATAAGTGTACTTCATCCAAATCGTCTTTTAATCAAGATTCAAATCAAGTGTGTAAACGTGATTTTCAGCAAAACATTGTCAGATAGTAAAGCTTTTAAATAGAACTTTAGTAACAGGGCTTCAGACAGAGGAGTGCCTACAGTTAGCTTCACACTCCCAGAAAATGTAAGGACAGCTGCAAACATTTATTTATTTTTTATTTTTTTAAACTGACCACAGACAATTGCCCAAGACATGGTCAAACATTTCCTTAACAAACTATCAGCTGTGAAACCCTGCACATAAAACTTTGAAATGAGGTTGTATAAAGTGAAGCCTCCTCTTGTCTCTGGTGTCACAGCGGAACAGAGCGAGTGGAGTTGAGGTAACGCGCTCTGACACAGGCTCTGAGCACATATTTACTGCTCATTGATCCTCCTCACACAAGATTACACATAAACACCGCCATCTCGCCCCATTACAAGTGCTACCGCTTTGTCCTCATCCTAAATAATGATTTGGTCCATTATACGAGTCCACTACAATGAAAAGTCTATCCTTTACTTCAGGTCCACTCCACTGACAAATGCTCAGACGCAATAAGGACTCCTGGGGATAAAATGGAGTATTCTGTAAGTTACTAAATGAGAAGTAGAATAGTTTAAAGGGGACATATTATGCTATTTTTATTTATTTATTTATTTATATCTATGTGATAATGTTGATTCCTCATCAAAAATAAACCTGGAGTTGTGTTTTGTTTCATTCATGCTATGTTCTTCTTTCAGATCTCTCAGATTTCAGATTTCTTCTTTCAGACATTCAACACCTTCCATCCACCTTCATTTGAATCATTTGGATAATTTCACTCCTGGAATTGTCCATCTCTATTGAAAAGGAAGATAAAAGGCGCTGTTAAGTTGAAAACTACCACTTGATGACACATCACATTCATACTAGAGAATGTAAGTGAAGTGTCTTGCCAAAGGACACAGCAACAGTATCAACTGGTTGGAGCTAGAATTGAACCACACACTTTCAGGTTGGAGAGTAGACGCCCTAAAAACTGTGCTAATGGTTCTCTATTTGTCAAAAAGCCACTGAGCAGTAGGGATGTGAATTTTTGGCAAAAACACGCCTGCCGCCCGCACACATGCACATACATGATGACAGATCAACTGAAACAGGTATTTAAGCACAAAAGGTTTAATCAAGAAACAATAAACTTCCAAATCATAGTAGAAATGAATAACTTCATTGAGCAACCCACCTATGAAACCATATGAAACTATAGTCTAGATGATCTCATTTTACAAATGCATGACCATCCACACACTGGAGCATTCACTACTTTCATTGAACTGCAGAGTCAATTAGGCGAAACCCGGTGAAACAGCCAGAATTGTCGGCAATAACACATTTAAATAAGCACTTATAGCCTTGGCTATGGCTATAGGCCTATGCCATAGTTTGGTTCAAAAAGATTAACATGACCACATGTTCAGGGTGGAGACGGGTGTGCAGTCTACTGACAGTTAATCCAGCTGCAGAGAACAATCACTCCGATGGCATGGACATCGCACACACACTCAAGTTAGCACTTGCTAACTTTGCCAGACAGGGGTTATTTCTGTTTGTTTGTTTTCCACCATGTCATGGGGTCAGTGTGGGGCGCTGGGCATATATCCTGACAGTACAGAGTCAGTTCAGTTACACATGTTCCCGTCTCTTTGCTGTAATCCTCATCAAATATGACCATGATTGCTGCTGAAGACAGACAGTCATTGTCATTTAACAAAGTAAAGGAAGTAAATAAGGAACCTTTACTAGGTCTCTGCAATGCTAATGCCACACGGTAAGTTTTCTTCTTCTGTTGTTTTGGAGCAGCCTCTACAGTAGGTCTAGTCTACTGTGCCTATCTGGAGTTTTAGAGTCTGTTTACAGCATCTTCTGGCCAAATGAGTTACATGAAATATTGGTTAGGAAACATCTTTATTCAAAATTACTTTTTGATATTTGAATGTATGATGAATATTAGACTATTCAAAAATCGTGCCTCATCCCTGATGAACAGATTTTCAAAACTAGTTTCAAATTCTTACTTTAACTTTACACGGTGCAACTTTTCTTGTTTTCTCCATGGGGACATCATTGCTTTGCCTGGAATGCTGCACAGTAAGATTTTAAACCTATCTATCTCCACGGAGACAAGCGGGTGGAGCATGTTACAAGTCAGATCTGTGAAGAGGTTAGAGCATGCACAGGGACGATTGTTTTATACTATGTAGGTATTATTTAGCAGTATAATCACCTGAAATTGATGAAAAAAGCTAAATAGAAAGGTTTCAATCATACAGAGGAACACCCCAAGCAAAGGAATAACACGGAGTCAAACAGGTGGCGGACCCTCTACCAGAAAAGTTACATAATGCACCTTTAAAACAAATCAAAGTTAACAAATGGATAAAAAACTTCATAAATCACAACAGTCTGTCCAAAACTGACCAATCACAGCACAGTATGAACACTACTCACTCGAGGTTCATTCATTGTTAAGTATTGATCCAGCTGGAGCTCAGCCCGCCTCAGGTAATAGGTCAAACCCTTGTATTATGTAGATATTCAAAATCCATTAAACTATTAGTATGGGAATAAATGGCAATTACATAAAACAGATTATAGCCTGTATTACTGCAACTAACAATCCATAGCAGCCACGTTTCTCCACTCAGTGACTCTCTGCATCTCCACAAATACATGTACTGTAATAATGGACAAGAGCTGTGTATTAGTAATCATTGTAGTGCAGTGGGAGGGGTTGAAGTAGTGATGAAGTATTGACGCCAAGGCTACGAGGCTAACCACAAGAGCAGGTTTCATGACAATCAGTAAGAAGTATTTCCACAAGTGCATACACGTACTGTACACTGCAAAAACGGAACAGCTAAAATGGGCTGAATTCAGAATTTTATGTGATATTTTCAGAGATTTTTGGCATTTTTTACTATTTTATTTGTTTCATTAAAAAGAAAACAGCTTATTTAACATCCAAAACCTAACTCCTAACCCCTTGATTAAGAAATTCCTCTTAATTTCTTCTTTATAAACGGTAAAGTATATGTAACATTCAGGTTAAAGTCATACTTCGGAACATTCCATTCAGAGAGAGTTATTTTGATGTAAGACATGCATTGTATTTAGGGCACATTTTTTGCTAAAAGTTACATACTGAGGCTTTATTTGAGGTGTAATTGTGACACAAAAAGTGATACAAAATGTCTTATTCCAATTAAATTTAGCCTAAAATAAATACATTTTTAAAAAATGGAATCTTCCCAAAACAATTATAATCAGTCTAAACACTCTGAATTCAACCCCATAGTAGACATGCCTTTTTTACAGTGTACTCGACATACTATCTCCAAATGCAGCATGAGCATAGGCTGTATTAGTAACCATAGCGATGTGGGGGTGGGGTTACACGGCGGTGTACTCAGAGGCGCAGAGACTCACCAGTTGTGGAGGAGATGTTGACATCGATGCTGATCTCGGGGATGCCTCCTCCCTTCAGCGCCGCCACACAGGTGTAGGTGCCAAAGTCGGTGAACTTCAGGTCGATGATGTCCAGGTTGGTGGTCCCGGGGGAGATGTCGGGGTCCGTCTGTGTGATGACCATTCGCTCTGAGCTCCGCAGAGCTCGCCCGTTCTTCAGCCAACTGAATGTCAGCTCCTCTGGGGGCGTGGCCTCCACCTGAGAGTCACACCAGGGGGTTAATGAAGAGGAATGCACTGCAAAAAGTTTAAAAACTACTTAAAGAACATATTTACATGATTTGAGAAGACTTGACTTTGCAAGTAAAATTATCTACCAATGGAACAAGACTTTATGTACTGAAAAACTGAAACTATTTGCTCCTAAAATCATTTATTTTTAAAAAGTCATTAATGACCATTGGATTTATACAGCATCTTTCAACACACACAGCACTTCACAGGCATTATTTATTCATGCCACAGTGATGGTAAGCTACTATTGCTGTCCAAAACAAGTATAAGTATAAGAGCACATAGACTAGTGTATGCCCATGGACCACAGTGTTTACACAGATATAAGACCACATGGTAATGCAAAAGAAAGTACTATTATTTAATGTTGAAAATGACATTCTATTGTCTAAAGAAAGAGTGTGTAGTATCACGGTAGAATCAGAATCAATATTAAGTTTGGTTCAGGGTGTTTGGGCTGGAGCCTTTGGGGGTGGAGCCTGCTGGGTCATAACCTGGTGGCCTATGTGGTCTGATTCTTCATGTGGAAGGTGCAGGGGGTTGAGGCCATTCAGTTTTTTGATTGTGTGAACCAGATATGTTGTGCAATGTTCATTTGTGGAATCTGCATCTTTCATTACACTCCATAACCAATATTCTGTAAGTCTGGACAGTGAATCTTTCTGTTTTCATCTTAGACACATGAGTCAAGCTTAAGACATGCCACACAGCTATAAAGGCAAACTGTGGAGTTAAACTGCCACTACATTAAGTATCGAGTCTATTCCTTAGTATCAGAAATTATTTTGTCATTTCAGTATTGTGACAACACTAGTTTGCTGATTAAATGAAAACAGAAAAGTAGAGTGATATTAATTGTGCAATCGTGACATTTAGCGAGCATGTACCTGACAGGAGATCTTCACTTCTCGTCCGATCTGGATGTTGTCATCGTTGTGGTAGGGGTCCGGAGTGATCCAGAATCGGCCTTTCTTCAGCGCTGTGAGAGACAAGGCTTTTTATTAGCACCATCTCAAAGTCTGTGACATTTCCACACTCCTCTGCTCGTCAAACTCATCCAGACAGACTCCATCACACCCACTTTCAATGGATTTATACAGCGGTTTGAACTCACGGGGAGTTCATTCAGAGCCACTGTTACTGGTTTCTCTTTCACAAATGCACTTGTAGTGAGTTTTGAAACTTTTGGAGTTTTTTTTTGACCCCAAGACCCAGCAAACTTTCCAGCTCGTAGTGATTTTTGGAGATGTTTGGATCACTACAGCGGTTCTTTTGACAACAGATGAAAAAGACATTTGCAGCTGATTCAAAACATATCGACTTAAAATCTTCAATTGTGGATCTGAATTTTGACGAGTTTTAAATGTGTTTTACCAGATTTTTAACAGGACTAGTTCATTTTAAAAGGTCCACGGTTGCTTCTCACTTATTTTATGCGTTATGAGCATCCTAATTATTCACAGTGATGAGTTTATCAGTGCTTTTCACAACTCTCAGAGACCAGAGTGTAGTTTTGCAATCACCACCGACAACTAAAATACTAAGCCCACTTCCTGATTATCGAAGAAAACCTCAAGAACTGCTTATACTGTGCATCTGTCCAAAGAAAAGGAGGAGGAGTGGACGGCCTTTAAGTAATGGTTTCATGTCAGTTTAACAACTCCATGTAAAAGGGAAATTCTGACCGTTCCTGACCTTAACCATGACTTCTTTCCCAACTGACCAATCACAGGAGACCGTTCCTCTGCAGCATACTCTCTAACATCAGCCCATCCTTGTTCAACATACAGCACTTTTGATCTAAAAAGGACCAAATTTCAGACACATCTTTGAGTAATTATAAACATAAAATCAAAGGAAAGTTGAAATTCTTATGTTCTTTTTGTTACGTTTTCTGCAAGTCTTATGCTGTTAGCTGACTAAAGAAGATATGTCTCAAGTCTAGGGAACATGGAAAATAAATTCAATAAATAAATCTTAGAACCTTAGAACCTTCAAGGGATGGAACGAGACACAGTTTCCACAAGACGAGACGAGATACGAGATTGGGTCCATGAGAACGAGATACAAGATTTTAACATTTTTCTTAATATATTGTATTTTCCGGACTATAGAGCACACCTGAATATAAGCATCAACTAAATTTAAAACTTGTACATATATAGGCTGCATCTGTAAAGCCGCAGGTGTCCACGTCTTCAAGAATGTTATCAAATTTGGGGCGTCTGCTTTTATCGCCTCCGAAAGCTTTTGTTGTCATTTACACTGAGTCAGTTCGTCTCGCTGCCGTCGCCAAAATCTCACTGTCAACTCACTGATGTCGACCTCACATGCAGCAGCTCTGTTTCCTTCTTCCACAGCCACATCAATCACCGTTAACTTAAAAGCTGCATCATCTGGATTTCTTCGTGGGTTTTCCTTGAGGAGGGTGTGTGTATGAAGCACAAAATAACTGTTCAAAGCACAATCAAACCAGAATCTTCTCCCCACGCTCTACTGCGCCTGTCTCCTGCAGAAAGAACCTCTGTTCTGTCTTTGTCATGTCAGTGTCTTGGAGAATTTCAGCAGATTTCAGACTCTCTCAGGAAAAGGGCTGGTTCTATCAAGGTCTGAGTGGACGTCTGCCTACTGAAATTTGAGACGTTTTTTTCTCGTCATTTAAGCAAACGGACGTACCCCCTCACTAATGTTCATTTAGCATCATAACTTATTTTATCTTTTTTTTTATTTTTATTTAATATAATTGTTTTTAGGTTTTAGGTACATGACATAAACTCATGCATAGATTAGTGCTGTAACTATTTCGATGTTACGGAATAGATGCATCACGATGTTACGGAATAAATGAACATTTTGTATGTGGAGCCATCAAAGTGGGATCCCGTTTGTTAAGAGAGAGATACAGAAGACAAACAGGCTGAGCTCGTACTTTCTTGGTTTTGTGGCTTTACAGCAACATCACGTCTTGGTCATTTTGCAGTGGAAGGTGTTTCTTGGTGAAACACTGGTGCCTTTCGCTTTGGTGCTGACTTTTAAAATTCGTAACCGAGGTTGAGCGAGGGATCTGGGTTTTGCTTTTTTTAAATTTATTTGCATTCAGGCTGCATGTATCTGCTGCGTTGCCAAACCATAGACCGTGAATATGAATGAACAATGCGCCAAACAAAGAATCCGTCCATATATTCGCTGCATCATTTTATTAGTCGCAGGGTTCAAAGTGTGAGAAAAAAGTAGTGGCTTATAGTCTGGAATTTACGGTATATATTTCACGTTTTCCAATTTTGGCCTCACAATTTTTTATTTGATTTCATTGTTTCGTTTCCATTCTAGATGCTTTTTGGAACTGCAAGAAATGTAACTCACCAACACATAACCCTTTTTTATCCAGTCTTGATGTAAACACATGGAAAAAATCTCACAAGATATTTTTTTCTCTTGTGTGCACGATCTTGTGGCAATTTTGTGACTGAATCGTGAACTGGTAACACAAGAACCCCATTCATTTCACAACATGTTTGTCCACACATAAACTAGAGATACAAAACAACAGGATATTTTGTTCTTCGCAAAGGACACTCTATTATCAAAATAATAGCTGCCTTTGCGATTTCATAATTGCACTGACTCAATTGTGATTTTGATTCAATTTAGATACATTGTGCAGTCCTTAGCTGAACCTAGCATGTCTTTTAGAAGTTAGAATAAAGAATAAAGCAGACGCACGCTGTGAAATTAGCCTTTTCCAACAAAACATCTTCCATTTACAATTCAATTTCGTTTGCAAACCCCATTATCAAAGCATAGCCGAAGAAAACACTCAAATCATTCCATTATAATGCATGCTGTTTGTAATGGCTCCTATCTGTGTGCACATTCACTGTTCAATTCATCTTTGCAGCACCACGGAAATCTTTTCAAGCGTCGGTTTCCCAGGTGGAATTATCCGCTCCCACTCGGAAAAGGCAAAAACAAAAGCTGCATGTCACATTTTAAGCACAGGAAATTGAAGACAAGAACCACGGTGACGCCTCCCGACCCGAGGAGAGAGAGACAGCTCCCGAACATCAACGGAAACCAGTTTTGACGCAAGCTACAGACAGATATTACAGTCGTGTCAAAGTGGAGCAAATTCTGACAAAATACCGCGCAATGCTGTTTTAGTTTATTCTGCCAGTGCATATGTTCCTATTTCAGATCTTATCCGTTCCTATACAGTATGGTGGCTGACGGGCTAATGAATTAAAGATGTGCTATGTAACTTTTTGCGTGAATGGCCTGCTACCTGTTTGCCTTCACGAAGATAGTACTTTGACTTTACTTTGATATCACAAAAAGTACATGAGCAGTAATGCAGTCGAAATAACAATACATGTTTTACTCTAAAATTGTTCAGACATAGAAATAGGATTGAGTGCTCAGCAAATTTTCACCTATCCCCTATCTCCACCCACTTCTATACTAATCCGAGTTTATGTAGGGTCAACATGTAGGGTCATATAGGTGGGGTTCAGAAATGTTGTTGAGTTTTTTAAAAATATAAAACGATGCAAATCAAAATCACAAATTTGACCTGATTTATATGCATATATTTGAGCAAACTCTCCAGTACAGATATAATGTATAAGCAGCTCTTGAGGTCAGAATATATCAGCTATTAGTGCTGTAGTCAAGACCCCACTAATCGAGACCAAGACCTGCCCGAGACCACAGGGTCCCGAAACCTAGACAAGACCAAGACCTCTGAGGGTCGAGACTGAGACAAGACCAAGACCACGGCACACCAAGACCAAATTGAGACCATCTTAGTCATTTTCGACATTTATTTGTATTTTACAGTTACTGCATTTTGGCACAAATGTATTAGTGTTTTTATAAATCTATCCCCATTTTATCACTCAAGTGTTAGATCTCGAGGCAAGACCGAGTCCAAGCACCTTCAAAACCAAGACAAGACCGAGTCCAACGGCCTTTAAGACCAAGACAAGACCAAGTCCAATTACCTTCGAGTTCAAGCGTGGTCGAGTCCGAGACAAGACCAAGACCGTAAAAAAATGGTCTCGAGGCTGGTCCAAGACCGCGACCACGGCACATCCAAGACGAAATTGAGACCACTTTAAGTCATAGGACGCATATCTCAGAGCTCCTGCAAAATCCGTAATATTATTTCATAAAACAGCCACTTTTGAACTGAAACGTGTGCAACAGACTGGAGTGACATCAGACGAAGTAGGAGAACGGATGGTGTTTGTGAGTTGATGGCGGAAAAGCTTCAGAAATACAAATTCTGCGCAAGCACTAGCAACCAAGCTAATCTAGCGAGGCCGGGGCCTGTAACGAGGACAACCACGAGGTTAGCTGTGCAGGGCGACGCACGCACGGATACGGACCAACCCTCACCCACCCCGAGTGAAAGTCCAGGTATGACGGCCGAGGACTTAAAAGTGGAGATTTTGGCGTCCCTGAGAACTGACATTAAAGGAGTAATAAGAGAGGAGCTCAAATCAGCGTTAGCAGATGAGCTAAATGTACTCAAGAACGATTTGCAAGGACTTAAAACAGCAGTGGCTAAAGATACAAAAGCTATCCGTGATGACTTGGAGCTCATAAAGACAGACGTGCAAGATGTGAAAGGGGGGTTATCAACATGGTCCGATGAAGTATCATCACTGCAAGATACAGTGACCAACCTCAAGAAGGAGTTGAAGTTTATTCGGGATAAATGCGATGACATGGAGGGCAGAATGAGGCGATGCAATATACGCATAGCAGGAATTGCGGAGGCTAACCCCAGCTCTCCAAAAGCTGTTGCTAGCGCACTGAGAGAGATGTTACAACTCGATCGGGACATGAAAGTGGACCGTTCACATCGTGTGTTTGGGAGTTCAAAAGATCGGGAGAGACCACGGGTGATAATTGCAAAAATGCATTATGATGAGGACGCTGCGGAGATCCTACGGAAAGCCCGCGACAGAGCCCCGC